GCTTTCTTCATGTATGATGTTCTTGATCTCATCCCACAACTCTTCTGGTCTTCAGTCTTTAGTGTTTAATGTATCAAATCTGTTCTTCAGAAGATTCCTAAATTCAGGTGGGATATATTCAAGGTCATATTTTGGCTCGTGGACTTGTTTTCATTCTCTCCAGCTTCGGTTTGAATTTGCATAGGCTCATTCTATTCCTCCTTCCCTCTCAAATCTATCACCTGAAAAAATCCAAGTCCCTCTGCTTTGTTCATCTATACATTTGTCCTTTTTTCTCTCATTATTAAAACTTCATTTTGCTCTCATTAATAAAAATTCAACAGAAGTTGTTACCATGTTTTGAGAACAATTATGCTCAACAGCATCTCTGGATTTTCCATCAGAACTCATTTACAGCTGTTGAGTCTCAAATGGTTAAGTACTCAACTATGTTAAGCTGAAACGCTGGTGGTTTAAACACTCTCAGAGACACATTGGAAGACAAACCTGGTGATCAGTTTCTTAAAGGTCACAGCCTTGAAAAGCCCATGGAACACAGTTCTACTCTGCACACATGGAGTCATGGTAAGTCCGAATGACTTCATGGTAACTAACACAACAACAAATGCTAGTGTATAATTAATAGTCTATCTATTTAGAAAGTCCTGGTATGGCGCTGTGGGTAAATGTGCCAGACTGCAAAGCCATTTGAATAGCAAGTTTGGTGGTTCAAGCTCACCAGCTACTCTTCGGAAACCCTTTATAGGGTCGCTATGGGTCAGAACTGACTTAACGACACTTAACAACAACAGCAACAATCGATTTAGAAGACCGTAGAAGAATAGATGCTTTTGAGTTATAGTGTTGGAGGAAAATATTGAAAGTGCCATGAGCTGCCCATAGAACCAACAGATCTGTGTTGGAAGAAGTGCAGCCAGAATGCTCCTTGTAGGCCAAGATGGACAAACTTCATCTCTCCTTCTTTGGATATATTGTCAGCAGGGACCAGTCGCTGGAGAAGGATGTCATGTTTAGTAAGGTGGAGGGTCAGAGAAAAAAAAGGAAGACCCCCAGCGAAATGGATTGGCCAAGTGGCAGTATCAATGGGCTCAAGTGTGGCAACAATAGTGAGGTTGGCCTAGGATTGGACAGTGTTTCGTTCTGCTGTACATAAGGTCGCTATGAGTTAGTACCAACTCAATGGCACCTAACAACAAGAACAACATCTATTTTTTCAATTCCGTTCTGTTACTTCAGTGTAACAAGAAAACCAATGTCTCCTTCTCTTTCATTTCTAGCTGGCTTACAGGCCTTTTTCCAGGTGCAGGATTGTAAGAAGTCTCCATTAGAAAATGAAACCCTTCAGAATGTTAGACAGTACTACATTGCTGCTGAAGAAATCATCTGGAACTATGCACCCTCTGGGATAGACCTCTTCACCAAAGAAAATTTAACTGCACCTGAAAGGTAATTCAAGAAAAAATTATTGTTAATACAAAAATATTGATTCAGTAATTACATTTTTAACTGGTATCTGATATTAAGTAATTAGACTCATTTGGTATCAGATTTTCAGTATGAAAACTAAGTTTTTAATTCATAGGGGAAAAGTGGGTTTAAAAGTTATCAAATATTCAGCAAAGTCCTATGGAAACACTGAATATAAGTGCAAAGATCTATTTATCTGCTTTACTTTTGTGAAAAACTACTATTTTGAAATAGGATAAAAAGGTAAAAGTAGTGTGACTATAATTTTATTATAAATTTTTACAGAAATTTTCTTTATTTTTGGAAACAGTTCCAATTCCATATGTGCTCTGGTGCTATCCTTGATTCCAGACAATGATTCCTCTTTTTCCCTTTGTCTGGAATACCCTCCTCCTCATTTGAATCTATGCTGGCCATAAAGTTCTACCTTGAAATATTCCCTGAATCTCACCATTTCTCACCCCCAGATTCGCTTACCACCCTAGAGCAAGCCCTTCTTACTGCATGTCTGGATCACTTCCATAACCTTCAAATCATTCCTCCTACCTTAGTCTTCCTTTCCTACTATCAATTCAAGGTGACCTTTCATAAATGTCCATTTGAATGTGTCCTTCCTCTGATCTACGTCTCTCCTAAAATGCTATCTCTTTAGAGAAGTCTTGTTTGCCATTCATCTAAAAAATCCCTTCCTTGGGGAAATGAAATACGTTGCCCAAGGTGGTCATATAACAAGTTAATAGCTAAGCCTGGCTCCAATCAAATCTATCACCCCTGAGCAGAGATTTCACTCCCATACTATACTGCCTTACAGAGGCTGATGACAACAAAATCTGCATCTACAGTCAGGAAGTCTCTCATAAATTTCAGATTTGCATTTCTAACTGTTTAGTGGATATTCTTACTTGAATGAAACCACTCCAGCTCAACAGCTCAACCGCTCTAATCTTAATCCCATCTTCTCCCTTACAAATCTGAACTTTTTTCATAGTCATCCATCCATTCAAGTGCCCAATCCTAAAATCTGAGCATCATCCTTGCCCCTTTCTCCTCCTCAAATCAGTCCGGCCCTCTTATATCCCAAATGTCTCTGAAAGTTATCTGCTTGTCTCCATCCTCTTTGCCAATACCTCTGAAGCTATCAACACCTCTCATTGAGATTATAGTAGTAGCCTCCTGACTTGTATCCCTACCTCAGTCTTGCATTTTCTTTCCAAGATTTTCTATTTCCCTGGATTAGAGTACTGAATCCTTAACTGGGTCCTATTACTCATCTCCCACCTCTCCAAGTCTCGTCCTCTACTTCCCTGCCTTCTATGATATCCTCCTGCCATACTTTCTAGAATATGCTATGTTCCTTCTTCTCCTCTGACCTTGTCAATAGACTGTTTTCTCTTCATAAATATATACCCCATTCTCCCACACACTGCATCTTCTCAAAGAAAAACTTTTTGTTGTGAATTAGTAAAGGTTTACAGACAAGATCATCAGTTTTCCATTCAACAAATCATACATTTTGTTAAATCACAGTGATTATAATCGCTTCCTGTGGTTCCTATTTCCATTCCACCTACTTTCTTATCACTTCTCGGCTTTGTCCTTAGGTACATGTTGCCCTTTAAATTTTGAATGATTGACAATTCCATGGTGAACATACCTTACTAGTGTTGCTGTACCCCCTACATACCTATCTACTGCTTGGCTGAAAATTGAGCCACAATGGTTAGTTCCTTTCCAGACCTGAAGGGTGGTCAACAGCTATAGTCTCAGGTTCCTCCATTTTTTCAGTTTTTTAATAATAATTTTGAGTTTTATTCCACATATTCTCCCACTCTGTCCAGGACCTTCTAACATGATCCCTTTCAGAGCAGTTGGTAGTAGTAACTGGGCACATCTAGTTCCACTGGTCTCAGAGTCCAAGAGACTGATATTCACATGTCCCACTAGTCCCTTGAAGTAATTGATTCCAAACATCTTTAATTCTCATCACTCTTCTTTCTTTTACACATAGAATATGGTACCTTAGATGGCTGCTCATGATTTTTTTTTAAAGTTTTTATTGTGGATTGAGTGTAAATTTACAGAGCAGATCATCAGTTTTACATTCAACAAATCATACACCTTGTTTCATCACCATGATTACATTCCCCTCCATGTACCATCAGTTAACAGTATTTCTCTCTATTCACTTTAGCACATTAAAACAAAAACAAAAACAAAAAAACCTCAGACATATATAATAATTTACACCACCAAAGGGCACATTCTACAAGTCTACCTCCTGGCTGCCAGCACTTAGTCCCTCTCTTCCCATGAATCTAGAGTCCTCAGCTTTCCATATCTCCATCTCTGTCCCCATCTCTGGTGTCGTTGCTTCTCTGGATAAGGTCACGCATTCTGCTTGTGTTCTTCTTCCTGATGGTCCTCGGGTCCTTTGTTTCGGGACTATAAGATTAACTGTTTCCCCATTTTTGTTACAAAACTTCTACCTTTACAATTGTGACAGTCGCAATTAGTGATGATAACAATTACACACTATTGAATCATAGGAATCTTATCCCCATCTCTTTTAATCAGACTCATGTAGACAAGATGACAACTATTCAGTGGGGACTCTTAACCTCCCTCTTGAAACCTTGCAAGCTGGTCACTTCATGCCTTTATCTCTCCCTCATTACAGGTAGCCAATGTCTAAGTTGCCCATCCCTATCTACTCTGTATACAGTGGGGATAGCATTGTTACTTGATGTGAAGACTGCTTCCCTCTCAGTTGGTATTTAGAGTTTACTACCTCCATGAGTATAGGTCAGGTTCATCAAGTTGTAGCAAAAATGTTTTTGTGTTGTTTTTTTTTTTTAATCTCCCTCTAGTCAAGTTCTGATTATCAAGTTATCGAGGCTAGGTCAAATGGGTACAACCTACAAGTTTAGGTGTTCTTGTGCATCTCCCCTCACTTCATATCAGCTGGATGCTTCTCTTTCAGCTCTAGCCCTCTGTAGTTATGTCCTTGTCCATGGGCTCAGGTGTCCCCAGGTCTCACCATACATTGAACCAACCAGCTCTTCTTCTTCTCTCTCTAATCTCCAGTTCAACAGGAATCAATGGACCGTGGTTGAACTCAGCCCATTTCTTCATTGCTGCCTTTCTCCCTCCCACTCGCCAGTAGACCAACGTACATGCCTGTTTGTGTGTTCCCTTTGAGTTTCTATCTTAAAAGGGGGTTCTTCCTGAAGGGACTTGATTGCTTGCCTTGATGGCTTCCTGGTGAACAGCTTGCTTATTTTTGTAGTAGCCTGTCATACTGACAATTTTGTTTGGGATTTTTCCTGATGATCCATCTTCTGTTGCTCTAGCTGTCCCAGGCTAGTCTGCTTTTCCTTACTAGTGGGAATGTCCCACCTCAGAAGGTTCTGGATGGGACTCAGGATTCCACCAAAGTCCTATACTCTGCAAAGGTTCCACAAGAAGCCTGTTTCACTGGGCAAGTTCTAGAACCCCTTTAAGGTATTCCAATAAGTTATAGGCTTAAGACGGGCTTACAAGTTTTCTGTAATCATGTTTCCCGACATTCCTTTCTATATCACTCAAGTGTCTATTTTACAATAGTAGACAAGGGAAAACAATATTAATAAGACAGTCAAGCATCTTAGTATTATTTCCCCTCTTCAAACTATGCCCAGATCCATGTATCACAGAGCCCTGTTGTTCCAAAGTTAGCATGCATCACTATTTACCTTTGTCCCACTTAGCCCATGCAAACCTGTCTCAGTGTTCCCCTATCTACCTTATTCTTCCACCTCCTCACTCTTCTTGTATTACCTCCCCAACACCCAAAACATGTTGTGTCTGCCCTTACCCTGTGCTCTATCATCACCTCCCTCCACCTCCCCCCAAACCCTCCACCCCAACCCCACCATTGTGGTTATCTTATATTCCATTAACTCTTCTTTTCATTTAAGAGAGTCCATTTTATCCTGTGAGGAGTTCTGGTAGCATAGTGGTTACAAGTCATGCTGCTAACCTTAAGGTAAGCAGTTCGAAACTACCAGCAGTTCCGCAGGAGAAAGATGAGGCTTTCTGCTCCCGTAAAGATTTACAGCCTCAGAAACCCTATACAGGGTCGCTATAGGTCGGAACAGACTCCACAGCACTTAACAACAGCAATAATTTTATCCTGTAACCTACCTGACCTTCCCACCACCTAGATCTCTGTTCCTCTATGTTTATCTTCTTTCACATTGTAATTGTTTTGATCATAGACTGACCTCCCAGATCCTCTGAATTAGTTCTTACAGGTTTATTCTGTTCTCGAGTCTTCCATTTGTCAGTTGACTTCTGGGTGATGCTGCCACATACGTCAGTCTCTGCTTGTTGTCTGTTTTTGTTGGTTCTCTGTCCACAGAACTCCCTTTAGGATGTTTTTCATCTCAGGGTTGGCTTTGGCAAAATCCCTTAGCTTCTGTTTATCCTGGAATGTTTTGATTACACCATTTTATTTGCTTGACAGCTTTGTTGGGTAAAGAATTCTTGGTTGGCATTTTTTTTTTCTCTCAGGGTTTTATATATGTCTCCCCATTGCTTTCTTGCCTGCATGGTTTCTGT